AGGTAATTTTGCGATAGAAAATGATCCTTCTCAGAATAGTCCTAGTCGCTTAATGCTAAGGCAACCGGGGTGAACTCCAGGATAAAATAGGGCCCTTGGCTCGCAAGACTTGAACCTTAGTCCAGTCCCTCATTAATATAAACAAACTTTTAAGTGGCGTATACCACTCCCATGAAACCAACTGGAGAATTTCATAACAGATATGAACAGAACCTGGTTGGTCTCCCTCGTAGCGTTACGATGTCACGCAACGCTCCCTGCAAACACGGTAGGCTAATATAAACACAAATTACTTTGCTTAATTAAGGTTCTACAGCTTCTTAGCCAACTAAGAAAAGAATTCAAAGTATCACGTGACGAGCGCGTGCTACCGCTGCTCGAGAGATTTCACCACGGACATCGCCTTGTGCTGCAGTTGTTGGATGAATCTTTCAAGGGCGTGGTCAAAGAAGATGGCGAGAAACCAGACATACCCACTATAACCCGTACACTGGCCAGTGGTGCAGAGTCTGGTGACGTCAGCGCTGTTGAAGAAGGATGTAGTAGTGACACTGACGTGTTTGACACTGTCACTCAACTGGATGATGAAACAGGTAATGGCGTCTTTTACACTCCTGGCCCTTGGGAGGTTTATTCTTTAGCGCAGCATCTTAGAGTACCAGCAAAACCCTGCTTTTGGTGATTCCTGAATAATACTTGTTTGGTTGAGAGTAGGTTGATGGGTTAATTGTTGGACGATTAACGGGTTTACATGGATATTTGATCAAACGGATACATGGGCACACCTTTCATGGTCTCTAGAAACATCACTTCCAATTTGGGAAATACTTCTGTCGCTACATGTGTTTCATGGGTATGGTCTATAAAAAATCATCAGACGTACTCCTTTTTAAGACATAAAAAAAATATGAATAAATAGAACAAAAACCCTACTAAAGACAATAAAAATCACGGTACCTCCAACATAGTGACAATTCACTTTCAACTGGCATCAAAATAACATTCCTCTTTCAGAATTTTCTGCACTGAGTTCTCCGTGCAGCTCTAATGAAACTGACCATGAACAGAAAGAAGAATCAACACAAAGCAACTTCCTACCTCAAAAGGTTTCTACGCAAGAACCGATTGATGAACAATCTGGCCTACTAAAACAGCTGCAGGATAAACAAAAGGAACTTGAAGCAGCTCAGGAAATGGTTCGAAATTTATCAAAGAGGGAGAAAACTCTCATAGAAAGGTATTACAACAAGTAAATCCATTCGATCTATTTCGCGGGTAGAAAAAGATATACACGGAAGCAAAGTTTTCATCATTCAGAAGAGTCTCTTCGCCTAATACTCTTTTAAACACATATGCACCCATGCTATCGATATTGTGAAATAAAAAAACTGAAATTCTTGATATGATGACAAGAGCTAATGATTACAAAAAACTTTGTCTCTATAGAGCTGGCGGTGCACGTGGGCAATATGAAGCAAAATCTGTGTTCTGATTGGCTACCCGAGCGGGCAAGATGAACCCATCTTTGCTCGCTCGGGACTAACCGCTTTGATCCCGCATAAGAAACAAATTTCTTGGAGTAGAAATGCAAAGTTGGTATTTCGACAATGTAGGCGATTAAGTCGCAAAAAGCGGCAGAAGATCTATAGTCAAAACAAAGAAAACATAAACAATTCTTGTGGGTTTATTGTGCTTTAGTTGGCTTTCTTTCCCGTCTCTCGAAATAAAAAGTCTTGATTCTTCATAAAGTGATGACCTTCTTGCTATACAATATTTCCTTTCTCGATCAAGCTTGTTCGGCCAAGATGGCTGGATATTAGCTTCGTTCCTTTTTCTCGTTTTTATGGACCTTGAATTCGTCTCAGTCCATAAAAACCAAACACCTTGACCTCACACTTGGTCAATAACTCATACGTCATGTTTCAGATTACAAGACCAAGCACAGAGACAGCTCAAAAAAGGCGGTAAATTCGAGGACCTTTCCACAGGCGAGTGCCGACCGTCTGTTCTGGTCGAGCGTTATGACAACTTGTATACACAGACACGGCTGGACGCTATGGACGAGTTAGACGAGGTTGAATCGCTTGAAAAGCTGGACGAGAACAGCGACATTAAAAACAAAATACTCTTTTCAGTTATAGTGGTAGGTGCAATGTTGTCAGTTCAGTTAGGGTATGTCTTGTGACGATACAAAAATTGATAGTGTCAATGTGTCACCCTATGGGCGTATCGTCTGGTGGTGCGGAAAGAAATCTGTTTTGATTATGGTTATATGGTAATCATCGATCAATCGACCAAACATTAGTTCACTTTTACCTATCTTCCTTGAAATAAACAAATGCTTACGATTCATTTTACCCAATCCGCAAGAAACTAAGAGACTACCATCCCCCCACAGGTAGCTTTCCGCGCGGTACAACATGCACTCACAGAAAAACAACACAAGCTTAAAAAGCTGTTAGATATTCCGGATGAGAAGACCAAAGAAGAGTTCGCACTGGATATACAAGACCACATCAATGACTATTTTCGAACGACAGGAGCACGTTTGAAGATCGACAGTATCAAAAGGGTAATTTGCAATCACAAGAAATTTATGATGAATTAAGTATCAGGTGTAAAACTAAAAAAATGAGGATAGCGAGGAGGGCAGATTTAGTCTTTTGAAGACTATCATGATACTAGAAATAAATTGACCAGCAAGCATCCAACAACACAGAACACTTAAACAAGAGTTTGTGTGATTTAATTCGAGTACATATTTACCTTTAGTACTCTTCATCTTCATCTTTCCTTTTCAGGAGGTCAGTAAACAGTTGTGGGGAACGTTGTACGATTTTCCTGAGTTACAGAATTGCCCCAAGTTAAGGGAATACATGGACGAATGCGTGCGCTTGTCCTGGATGATGGCTGTTCAGATTCCACCAATGATCATCGAGTATGAAGCAACTGAATTCTCTGAAAAACTTCATGGACGATTCATGACCTCGGACATGACATCTGTTGCGATTAAGTATCATATTTGGCCAACTTTGATTGACTCACAGAGTGGTCACGTGCTCTATAGAGGCATTGTGGTCACATAACTTGTATGTAAACAAAATTTCCGCAGAGGAAGGTTTGACGAAATATCTAAATGTTAAATTTCAAGAAATTCATACACAGATAACGTTTTCATGGTTCAGAAAATAAAAAATCCCGACGAAAAAGTCGTTTGACTCAATACAGAAGGCAAAATTCACTGTAACTTCGGAAACATTCTCCGCATTAACTCTAAGATCAAGACCAAAGGAATAGTGGTGTTTATTTTCTTAGGAAGATGCATTGTTAGTGTAACAGTGCACAATCTATATTTCAAAATCTTTAGCTCATGGACAAGCACAGGTAATCGTAAAAGAAAGACTTCCATGAAGATTTCAATTGATAAGTTGGTATTATCCAAACCTAATTCGAATTTTGAACAACTGAGAACGTCTAATTTTCTTGTTCACTTGTAACTTATTGCGGTGTATTCTGGAAGTGGAACCGGCTTTTATCTTTCACTAATGTCAACAGTTGCAACAATGTCTCTTGCTCAGTCTACCTTAGGCAGACGTGGCACGTTACACAAGCTGCTTTTGGTTTTACTTTTTCTGCTCCAGGCATTCAACATTTGCTATTTGCTCTTACAGTCTGTCCCATATTCATTCCTCTTTAGCCACATTCCTTGTATGTCCCTTTGTAAGTAAGAAATGGCAAAGAACACGTTCACCTTTGGCAGACAGGACCATGCTGACATGCCTGAGTAGTAGTGGATAAACCAGCTAGCCCAGTCCCCCGCGTCCTGTTTGCTGTATCAGTTCTCTAATATTCAACGCCACTTGTTCAACCAAGGGTCGCGTCCGTTTTATTTTTTCAGCAATTTTGTTTACTTCCTCAATCAACTGCAAAACACCAAGGAGATAAATGTCAAATGACACGGAACATAACAAAGTGCCAATATGATGTTTTAGTGTAAAGCATTATCAAATAATTATTCGCCTCCGGCTCAGTGAATATTGCTGAAAAAACCGAGGCAAAGTCAAGGGGATTATTCAACAATACAATTGTCGAATCATTGTTTCAGTATAACTGCTTAGGTGCTTTCGAATTATGTTGTAAATATTCGTTTTGATTTTGAAACTATTCTGTTTTGTTTGTTTTACTTGTAACGAGATAAAGAGCCAGTTTCCACTAGAATTTGATAGGTTTATTTAATTCGATCAGCAAAAATTCATATTTTTCTTTAGAAAAGTGAAACTTAATAAGATCTTTGCGCTCTTCAAAATTAGATTTTTTATAGTGTTCATCACTTCCTCGGTAACGCTGACAAACGCGAGGCAGCCATTTTGAAATTTAGCGCTCCCGCTATAATCAACTCGCGCGAGGTGATTAAAGCGAAATATGACGCAATCCTGAACCAATCAGGACGCGCGCATCTCTATATACAATCACCGGAGCAATTATACTAAGCCGAGATTTTACCTCGTGCAAGCACTGTTGTGTTTGTAATAGCTCCTCATCCTGGTGATTCGGTCCCAGGTCCTGTATCTGTTCCTCAACCCACACGGACAGCTGATCGCGCTGTTTCTTTTTGTGACTGACAAAATAAGAGGAAAGAGCGTCACAAACATGGTTGATTTACGAATACGGTTTTATTTGTACTTAATACGCACGATGGCACTGATAAAGGATCAATTCAAATCAAAACACTGGTGTTTACTTTTAAGCTTACTCTGCGTATGTACTTGCTATTCAATACAGGTTTACGTTCTCCGTTCGACTTTAAACCGCGGCGTGAGTTTGATTTAACAACGGATTTGACGTGGTTTGGCTATAACTGTATGCCACATCGGCGAACAGAAAAAAAAAAACTACTTTGACCTTTGATTTCGGTGTTATTACAGCGTGTTCGGAAGATCTTTACCCAAAAGTGACAAAAGTACTACTGAAAAAATTCACGACGTAAACTGAGAAAAAATACATTTACCTATAGGCAACTTTCATGTCGTGAAACTCTTGAAGAACATTTTTCATGTGGGTAACACGTTCCTGGAGATTCCCTTCCTTTTTTAGCGCACAGAAAAAGCCGCTCTTCGGCGCTCCTTCTGTTGCATCCAGCTTTAACCTGTCACGTTCAGCTTTCATATCCCACTCTCCTTCGTTGGTGTCTTCTTCCTCGCCAACTTCTCCAGCAGAATTTTCATTGTTTTCCTCTTCAGAGTTTTTACTCGGCGACGAAGTTGTTGAAGACCTAGACACCACCTCTTTTTCGCTGTCGATGGAAGTGCGGGGAGATGAACCTGGATGTGTTGACGAAGAAGCCTGCACCTCCGCTGCGTCTGACACAGTGGGTTGCAGCGGACTACATTTTGTACGAGTGGGCAGAGTGAAGGATGAGGGAGGTAACAACACAGCTCTTCGTTCAGCTCCTCCTGTTGGTCTCGTGTGGATAGGGGGTGCAACGGAAGCTGGCATTTGAGCGGGTTTTGATGCTGGCTCAGGCTGTACTTTGGAATGGACCACAGCTTTTGATGAGTCTGAAAACAATAACCGACGGTTTTCGCACTTTTGGATTTAGCTTTCGGAGAAGACTCTTGGATAAGTTTCCTACGTAAATACTCATCCAAATTGTCTACCTCCCCTTAAAATTCAAAAGTACTCAGTTGATGTAATTTCGAACAAGTACTAACAGACGAAGTAAAATGTGGCATCTTACCGCGTTCATCTGTTCGTACTCTTTTTGATCCTTCTCTGCCGTAGAAAGATTCTTCCCCTGAAGACGAGGGAAACACGAAAGATTCTTCCCCTGCTTTCCTCTCGCAGGGATGAATAATTGTTCTCATTTGAGAAGTAGGTCGGGGGGGAGAGGTCCGAGGTTTTGCTTCGTCATCCTCCTCTCTAGCAGTGACACGCACGGACGACATGCGTGGGAATAGGTTCGTCGACATAGATATTTCGGCGACGTCAAAAGACTCTCTTAAGTAATCGGGTTTTCTTGGCCTGGGGCGCTCCTTAAAGGTTTCTGAGGCAATCCTACATTATCAATAACGAAAAAATAGCCATAAGATCAATCAAGTGTCTGGACCTAAGTGAAGGTACAGTTCCATTGTAGTTCTTTATCATTCACTTTACCTATGGAGTCACCTGGGAGGACAAAATAAAAGAGTAGCTAGCGAAAGGTACAGAAAGGAAACCAAAGTTTAAGACGGCCCTCTACTAACTCTAAGGACACAGAGTAGAAATGGAGAAATATGTTTTTCGTCTTGTCACGAGCGTGGGACAAGAAAAAAATTCTGGGTCCCCTTGAGGAATCGAACCTCAGTCCTTCAGATTCCGCGCTCCGATGCTCTTTCACTGAGCCATAGAGACTCTATGGTAAGCAAGGCCCATGACGAAGTTCACATAAGTAGAATTGGTCTTATTTATTGTAACAGTCCTTAGCAGACAATGAACTAGTTGGCTACAAAGAAGAAATGAGTATCGATTCTAATTAGTCAAGAGGGACGTTATCATAGAAAACTCAGTGTTTAAAAGTCTGGTGGCTCATTTTGCAGTACTGGATTCCTTAAGGAATATTCCTTTTAAACAGTTTGCTCCGGTTCACTGGTACTATCTGAACACAATGAACTATGCTTTCGTTCACACTGTTCGTGTGCTATAAGCTTTACAAACAGATAAGTCTGGGATCGCTTAGCTGAGTTTTAGAGCTGACAGAACATATAGTTAGCCTGTTTTGTTTAAAGAAGCACAATTAGCAGCTCAATATCAGAAAGTATTAGGAAATTCAAGGAATGTATTTTCCCGAACCTTTCAACTTGCCAGCTGTATGTGGAGGGCTGAATCGAGTGTGCTGCGTGCGAACTCTTCAGTGACGTGGTATCTGGCCCATCAAGTTTTGGACTCATCACTCGTCTGGGCCTCGGTTTCCCTCCTCTTTGTCGAACTCTATTGGCCGTTACTCTTCTCCAGTGAATTGCACAGCGATGCACACACTGGTGTAAGGAATGAGCAACCTACCAAACAAAAGGATCGCATATAGTTGAAAATGAAATAGTGTAAGGTACATTCGATGAATAAAATCCAATAAAGAAACGCCGTTACCTCCAGCTGTCTTTCTTGAGCTAACCTTGACCTCTCTGATGCCAAGTGAAACCCAACCTAGAATCCGAACACGTAGAATGAATGTACCTTTCATCCATGACACATGCTTAGCATATCTTATTCATAATTAAACTACGGGGTTTAAAATTTACAATCTTTTTACTCCATGCACATCTACACAGGATGCTTTCGACATTGCTGATTCCCGCCGTAGGCAGACCGTTTGTCACATATGAACCTAATATATAGCGTTCTTGACAAAGGAGTTCTCGTAAACTCAGTTCGTAGAGCATCTCACAGCGAAATCGTAAGATCTGAGGCTCATGGGGAACTCAGAGAGAACATGAGAGTGAAATAACAAATGCCAGACAACACAAGATTAAAGAATGATGATCTTACTTAGGACGTAAAAAACAATTCTGGAAGGCGTGCTCCAATTAAAGAAATGACAGAAAATGCGGGGATCATTTCTTTACTTGTACATGTATATCATCCACAAGTCAAAATATTACTTATTTAGCTATAAAGTTCATTAACACACCTTCATCCACTGTTTGACACCTGCTCGCAAAAGCCTGTGTCTTCGTTCTTCCAAAGCTCGGGTGATTCGAACTGCTTTCTTCTTGCGTGAGATTGCGTACTCCAAAAGGGCGTAAAATGCCTTTAAAATCACAAAAAATTAAGCATTGGTTGTTGTTGCCTTAGTTATGACTGATAATTGACATACCTGAAGCTGGCTTTTCCAGAATTCTGCTACCAACTGAGTTACGCAAGCACACGTTGCGAGCAAGGTAAATGTTAGTATGATCTTCAAGCGAGGCAATTGTTAAGAATTACCGCATTTACATACCTGCCATTGTCCTGTCCTTTTGCCTGCTGAACCGCTATTATCTAGCCTAACACCTCGCCCGATATACTCTTCACTTCAAAAATTCCATCTACATGTCGTAGATCGGAGAAAGCTCGGAAAACTAAATTATCGTAGCATACCCGCTCTCACTTGATTTACAGGTCTTACTTTGTAACACAACGCTACTCAAGGACGACATGTAACGCTTGACAAAACCAAAGTATCACAGGAAAATTTAATAAAGGCCCAAGGACAACTCAGAACAAAACCAAAATAACTGCCTACATTTCGGGAAAACGTGCGTGACAAAGCGGCGATTAAGTTTGGTTTTACATCTGATTGGTTGAAGGGTGGCGCAATTCTCCTAGACCAATCACGATGCAAAGTAAGGAAAAACCAACGCAATCACGGGAAAACTTTCGACCATCAACTGAAACTCCTTGATGTATGTTTAACACTTACTCACCTTTCTTTGCAGTGTAACACTCCAATGCCACAAAGCCAGTACTGTCTGTCTCTTTTCGTAAACTACAGCGCCATGCTAAAATTTACAGTTGATTGTTATCTAGTGAACTTAAAGGCATAAAATCTGGTGTGGAATATATTCATGCATTTGTTGAGCACAAGATAAAACTCATAATACTGTTCAGGTGCATAACTTTGTGGAAGGTTTTGTGGTCTTTCTACAAAATGTAGAGAGTTTTTAGCATACCAATATAGGCACCACTCCTTTTAGAACGACACTTAAATATAAACAATATGGTGTCTTAGAATGCTTGCCTGTTTCTGCCATTTCCTGAAGAATGCGACAGTAATTCTTCGATTGTGAAGCCACATACTCTGCCTTTGCAGAATCTAAAGGGAAACACATTTACAAACTCGAATTCTTATTTAATCAGTTGTTTAGCTTGTATGGGGCAAGGGCTTCGCCTAATGTAACTGATGGGGAACATTTTAACAAACAAACCACACAAAGATCATCCTCTGTGTTTGAGGAGAAAGACTTTTTTACGTTTACATTAAGCAAAAAAAAAAAAAAACCTCAACCAAGACTCACCTTGGTCCTAAAACACAGGTGTATGTAGCCTTTCCAAGAGAACATGGCTTTCTTGAGCAGTGCCTTCTCATAGTGGTCGAAAGCCCTGTTTCTCAGAGTTTTGTCATGTACCGACTTCCGTTTAAATGACTTCCATGCGCGGAATGAGCGGTACAATTTACCTGGCGAACAAATCACACTGTCAATGCAAACCGAGTTTGCCTCCATTGGAGCGTGATCCATTGCCACAGACTGATAATAGTTTAGAGTAACACAGGCGAATGAGCTGAACAATCATTACAGGAATAAAATCATCTCAGATTTTTACGCGCCTTTAAAAGCTGAAGTGGTAACAGAAATAGAAAGAAAGCAACCGAAGCCCAACAACCGAGATTGGGTGTACAATGTTTCTTGATGTAGGAGAAAAAGGGGAAAAAAAGCAAAGTGCACAGACCTTTATCAAGTTTCTGCTGAATTTCTCTAACACGTTCCCACTGTTGCCATTTCCTAACTGCTCGTTGAGCTGCAAATTCTCTCCAAGATGAAAAACACTGAAAAGGAACCAAATATCTCAAGTAAACGTCCTTATCTTTTACTAAAATTGTCGCAGAGGCCCCTGTTGAAGACTGACAACTTTTTTCGCTATCAAGTGACGAACTGACTGACCGTCTAACTATGTGACTGATGAACTGACCACACGTAGCTGACTGTCTGAGTGAATGACTGGATGATTGATTGACCGACTGAACGCACGTATACTACAGCTTTGTTTGGATCTCTCACTTACCTTGAAAAGTATTGCTTTTGCAAAAAATCTGTCACCAATAATTTTATTCCTTTTCTGCTCTTTCTCTACTGTACTGTTTTTCTTCCACGTTTCAAATGCTGATCTGAAGAACATGAAATGTATCCAAGGAAATTTAATCTGCGACATCAAAGGGGAGACTTCACTCTTTTACTCTTCCTTGATCAAATTAACCTTCCTCCTCCAAATAAAAAGTCTCTTCCATTTAACAATTTTGTACTCTGTACTTTACCTACCCCTAGTACGATAAGGACAGCTCTTAAGGGATATCATTGTCGATTGAAATCCTCTCGTACGCAAGACATAAAATTCCCAACCTTGATAAGAATCAGTACGATGACAATCCCAATAAATATTTTCGTTACCTCAGTCGATCCATATTGCGGCTTTGAAGTCTCTCTTCACAGTGTGTTTGAACAGCCTTTACATGTTGGTAATGATCCTAAAGAGAAGAAGCACAAGCGGCTGAGACAGTAGAGCAGACTGAAAACCTTGCCTTCTTTCGATCATTGACTATCGAATGTACCACCTCTCAGCATATGAAGACTGCTAATACCTGAGCCAGAGATTACATGTTAAGCAATCATCAAATACTATTCAGGCAAAAGAGGCACTGCTCACACATTAGCTCACAAAAAGCTATGTTACGAGACAATCAAACGAGTCTCTCCGTCATGGAATACACGGAACTAAATCTCCAAATGCTCACCTTCCAAGCACCGACTACTTGTGAAAGAAGACGCCGTTGATAATGAAGGCAAGCACGAGTCTGTTTTCGCCATTTCACCTGTCTGAAATAAACAAACTGAAAGAAGGACAGAAAGGGAGGTAACAATTAATATCGTTTGAAAGTCCTTAATTATGAAAATGTTACAATTTCATCTGGTATTAAAGATAGCCTTTCAAAAAGATCTTCCTAAAAGTTTCAAAACTTTTGTTACACATCCTCTAAAAGCCATTCAGTGTACTCAGAAAGCTATCACTACCAATTCCATAGCAAATGTACTTGTCACAGCAAAATTGCTGGCTGTTTACATGAGCGAAGAAAACTTGTCAACGGGACTTGCCATGGAAAACTGGTGCGCCAGAGTACAGATTCCTCAACAATTCCCCGTTGTATAGATTTGATGTGTCATTTGACGGACAAAGGGACTTGTCAGGAATCTGTACTAACAAGGAAACTTGTCAAGGGAGAATTTGTCAAGGAAAAGTTGCTGATGTAAATCAGCAAAGCTTAAACGTACGATGGAATTACTCCGCATTTATGTGATGGATGACAAAATTGTCACAAAGAAGAGTCTTTATAGCAACCGTGGATTTCGAGAGCGGTACTCACCCGGTTCCATGCAGTCCAAGTCCTTTTTAACAGATTGATGTAGTAATGCCTTACTGATAAATGCTGCAATGAACGACTGGTGAGAAAGAAAAATAACCAAATGTAAAGGGAGGTTCATCATGGTCTGCACACGTCCCTGGAAGAATGGAAATATTAGCCCGACATTTTTAGTCTTTTCAAAAGCAATCCGTTTTCCCATCCCTAACATCCATGTTGCTTTTTAGAATAACATTACCATACTGAAACTGGGGAAATGTCTCCTTAGTCTTTACAGCAAAGAACACACAATGAGATGCCACAGAAGTTCTGACAACAGCCTATGGAATATAGCCACCTCTGATCGTTTTGGTTGTAACAAGCATTTGACAAGAAAAGAGTTTGCTGTCTTAGAGCATTCCCATCGGCCCAATTAATCACTTGTCACTGATGAGCAATACCTTGCTTTCATTTCTTGGTTGAACTCTCTCCATCGTCTTATTAACATCAGTAACAATCTCTGATGGTAATGATCATCGGCAACAACCTGAAAGTCAAGTTTGGAATACCTCATCAGTCACCTACGATCAACATGTCGTCCCGGTATCATTCAAATGATGCAACAATTCATTCCCTGCTGAAGGTGCGATGTGTCTGATCAAATCCACAAAAAACGGCACAAATATTTAGCCACGAGTGTAAGGTTGGACAGACTTTCAACAAGAGGTAGTTTCTTATCATTTCGTCTTACTAGCATTTCGGAGAAGGTGGGGTTGTTTTGTTAATGAAAATTATCAGTTTTCTTGACAAAGTGAAAAAGGGGTATTACGAACCCTTGGATCCTGACCCATGGCTATCCTCGTATTTTAACAATTAGGCAATAAGCAAGATATTTCTATCGCGTGATACTTAATGACGGAGAAACCCAAATCGATCATCAGGTATATAAAGTGAGAACGAACAATCTAATTGGTTTTTTCAAAACTTAAAAAGACAGATTCGTGTTCTTTCTAAGTAACGATACAAATAAGTGATGCCATGTGCAGATAATTCACAACTGCTCCACGCTCACTGTCACGCAATAGATAGCGAGTAGTGTAGCCACTTAGATTTCAGAGATTGAAAGGCTGATAGAGTAAACAAGAATCTCTTTCTTTCTCAAGAACAACTTTAACTGCGAAATTAACATCGCGTTTATACAAGTAATCCAATGCTGCAATAAACCGTAGGAGGCTGCTGTAGCCTACTGACTTGAATGACCAAGATTTTGAATTTGAGAATTTTTGGCGCAAAGTATTCCACAGACTGTTTTTTTCACATGGGCCGCAACAGCATCCTAGAAAAATAAGGCCGTAGACTCACGGTCGCTCAACCAGAAATCAGTGCCTGCGACCAATCAGAGATTAATCGGTGCCATTTAAAAACCTCGTTATTCTGTCAAGAATTTAATATACAGATACTAAAATATATATTTGAAGTGTTGAGTGGATCACAAACCTCAAGCCTTCTTTCACGTAACACTTTCCGTGCTCGTTGAATCCACAAACGAAGACAATGCCTCTTTACGACTTCATCATTATGAAGAATGGCCTTGACAAACCGAGAAGAAATTTCTCATTGGATGTATTCCTCCTTTCAACCCTTTACACCCTAACATCAATATGTATATTCTGTTCTCTATACATTTCCACAGGTGCTGACAAGGAGAATTTGTTTAACAATCAAAAGCTCTATTAGTTGCTGATCATTTCCTTAACTCTTTTGACCTTAATGTTTGATTCAGGGGTGATAATATAAGGAGAAATTAGAAGCTAATCACCATAAGAGGTCAAAGGCTTAACCAATCAATCATATAATAATTAAAAAAAAAAATATCGGGTCTTAGTCTAAGGAACCACATCCAAAGTATACTTCAGATGTCCAAGCTCTACTCGGAAGATTTGTTCCGTCAAAAAGACACTCTCATACCATGCGAGCAGCGTTCCCTTACATCAAACGGCAACTCTGCTTGCAGGATGACAATGTCAGTGTCAGAAATGTAATTCAAATCCACCCCGATAAGTGATGGTCCTAAACAACAGGTAAAGCCTAAATGGATGTACAGATAAGTAAGGTTTTTTTGCTACTTAAGTTCGTGTAATCCCTGGCAAAACTATCTCCTGTATAAATGTAAGCCAACTGTGCTTTTTCATTCGAAATCAGCGGCAAATATAACAACAAACATAAAACAAAACCAACACAATGGACTCATGAATTAAAGTACAACAAAAATTGAAAGTGGACAATTTTATACCATCCTTTCCATCATTCTGATGTCCATCTTAAGCTGGTATTTCCTCCACCACAAGTAAAATGACTTGGCCAAAAGTGCTTCACTGAAATGAAAATTTACAAGTAAAGCCATTATGATACAATACATAATTCAACTTAATAAATGGCTTGATCAGCCATCAGCAAAGTCAAATCCAAACAGTTTGAACTTTTTCCACTCGCTTTGAAAAAGTACACTCCATTCACAAAGATATATCTAGAATAAATATAGACTGAAATACAACTTTACAAAGACCTGACATGTCTAAAATCTGTATCTGACTTACCGTCTGAACTTCTTGGAAGCAAGGATAGTTTCTTTCTGAGAATGCATGAGATCAACAAAAATCATCATTTGGCAAAAATACCTAAAATGAAAGAAAGCTGACTTACTTCAAGAAAATCACATCACTTTAATAAAATTGTGACAGTCATTAAATTTCACAAATGCCATCATCACACAATGCATACTATGTAAATAATAAAACAAATAACTAAAAGTCCTCTTCCCTGTAAAACCTGCCATACTCTAAAAATTCATAAAGGTGTTGCGAAGAAGCTAGAGGCTATTGGTTCAGCATGTCAAAACATGGGTGATATAAAACAGTGAAATAAGATGGCCAAGGCTTTGAAAAACTACAAACAAATCAAATGGTGTCATTAGAATTGCAAACTTCAGTGAGACAATTTTTTTCTTCATGATGACTACCAGAAAAAGTTAACTACAAACCTGGGCAATGCTTTTTCGCGGAAATGATAATCAGCTTTTGCATACTGAGATTTTCGGAATCGTCTCCATTGACAGTATCTCACCCAAACAACAAAGAGTTTCCTCTTCAGCTGAAGACTAAATTAAAACACAATATCAGTAAGAAAATAATAGGAGGCTATAATAAAATGCTTCTCACAAACCAAGGATCCAGATGAATGATGACCCATTATTTTCCATGGAACAAAATATAATATCTAATGAGTTAGATCCAGACACTGATACATCCAGTATAAAAGTAATGTATCTGTAGAATAAAAAGAAATCACCAAAAAAAAACAAAAAAAGACAAGGGCAAACTCCTTTAAAATTTTTGCATCCATGTTTTTATCAGCTGGAATATTGTTTTACATCTCAGGAAGAAGCACAAGTAAAAGCAGGAGCAGAGTGCCTTCATTAATGTACATCTGTATGTACCATACAACTTCTGCAAAGTTTCATGCAAACTTTCTACTTATAGCCACTTTTTTATCCAGAGCAACATGTCTTTATATGTGTTGTTTATTTTTCATACTTGTAATGTGCTCTTGCTCTCTTGGACACTGCATGAAGCTTCAGCTCCTCAGAATGCTCACATCGCTTTAGCCAAATGCTCCACACCCTTTGAAGTTGCTAAAAAAAAAGCACAAAAAATGATGGATATGACATTTACATTTCACTTTGCCTGTAGTCCGTAGAGGGATCAAATTATGTTTAATACATATTCTTGAACATTGCAAAAATATTATGTAAAATTTATAGATCCCCTCACTCCAAAAAACCTCAGGACCAAGTTGTAAGTAGTATCTTTTATTGAATTCAGATTTATTTCAAAGAGAGAAATGTGAAAAACTGTAGTCTCATTGCACACCAACATGTCTGAATAAATGCTAAAAAAACAAAACTTAATTCAATTCATGCTTTAGTCCACTAAAACTAAATTAAACATTTGGTGATGTGACAGTCTTTGCTGAAAATTATTCCTGACTTAAACTTAAAAGTAATTATAGCCACCAACTATCAAAATGTTAGAACTGTGCCTTTACATGATATCTGTAGGAACATGTTTCACAGTAGAGGTACAATGAGTGATATGCCTGCCAATCGCAACAGTTGATAACTAACCAGCTTGTCAACCAAATTGCCAGCAGAGGACTCTGAGCATTTAGTCAAAATGCTGCAATACGTTTCAGAAATAACTACATCATGAGACAAACAACACTCAAGAATAAATGATGTAACCCCAATGTTTTTTCTTTCACAGTAAATATGTTTGTTTTAACACATTAATTGCAGCCAGTGTTACTGCTTTTTAGTGATCATGTGTAGTAATCATGAATTAAAGTGCAGACTCCCAAATCATTATTTGTACTGCCTATACTTACAAGTCTCTTGTGCAGATCATTAGCCATCTTCACTCGCATTTCTTTTAGTCTTCTCTGTATTGATTGCAAATGAAGAGCATTGAAGCAGATTGTCTACAGAGAAAAAATTAAGTTATAACACATAAACTGTGTAGGTGTTTACATGTAATGTACGATCATAGAACATAGCATTTACAGCTGTACCAGCAAACACCATTACTGATTTTGTTTTAATCAGCAATCAAACAATGTTACATTTAGTTAAATTGAAATTTAAATAAAAGTAGCATGGAAACTAACCAGCAAATGTTTTTCATAATAGTTGGCAGCAACATCTTCATTTTTGTACATATCCTTCCTCAGATAAATGTCTTTGAGTGGAGTTAATCAAAACCATTGCCAGGAAAATCAAATTTTGTGCCACTGTAACCTAAGCCGTATTTTCTTGATCTTTAAAGGTATATGTGATGAGTCAATTTTTTCAAATGGTATATTCCCTTTTTTTGGACACACTTGGTGATGCATGAAAATGAGCTTGAAACAAAGGAAATGTGAAAAAAAACCCTAGTTATTATATATGCAATAGACAAATACCCAAATCAATACAATGATTACTGGTAATAAATGAGTTGAAGTTTTACAAAGAATTGAATTTTTTCCCAAAGCAAGAGTGGAAATCAGTTTACCCGACAAGACATGATTTTGTATGCATCAAATGTATGATAGCCACATAAAGAATCATGGCAGTTACAGGGTGAAAGGCAGTGGCAATACATTAATAATGACATTTAAAAATTTTAAATCCTTTGTAAACAAGTAATTAATGACTGTTACAATATTTCAATAAGGTTCAAATTTTCTCAAATGTAGAATCATTTTAAACTGGTAAGGATACAGTGTTTCCAATGAACTAATACTCTCCTGGCTACAGCCACATTACCCTTGTAGGTAATCAAGTCCTCAAACTGAGCAAGCTCTACTTGTCTCTGCCATCTAGCCACCCATGTTTGAAATGACTTTTTCAGTAATATGAAGGAAAAGTGTCTCCCTGCAGCATCTTGATAGAGATTCAAAATTGTTTTAATGCATCAAAGGTCCCATTTTACTTGGTTGGTATTTCAACAGCATTTTTTTTTCTTGTGCATCATAACAATTTTTCATTTAATTTGATGACAATATAATTATATTGGTTTATGAATACCTAGGATTTTTCTGTCATTCCAACTTTTAACTTCTTAAAAATAGCCACTCGAATGAGCAGATATGGTTTCAGTCAAAGGGCATCTTCTGGTTCAAGTTATAACAGAACTTGGGCACTTCACATGATTTCTTGCACCGTTAATGCTAATGGGCTGTGCTTTGACTCAGTTGTGTAAAAACCGAAAACTAACTGAGTGTGTTCTTCATTTAACTCAACAAAATTTTCTTCATAACCCTTTTTTTCCCTTGGTTTGTACTTGCATGCCTATCACGTGCTAGAGGCTTCTGATCAGTGCATGAAAGAACGTGATGGTTTGCACTGCAATATCAAAATAATCTATACTAGTCAAGGAGGTGAAGCCAGACAAAGTTGATCTTAGCACCCCACCGCACAAAAGGTTTGACATCAGATTATAATAGCCTGATACCCAAAGATCATTACTACATCAGTCAAAGACAAATTGTGGGGTCAGTGACTTGCTATTAGCAATAGTGAGGTGCTTTTGGAAGTACCAATATTTATGTGTTCAGGAAATTTTCAGCAGTAAATCCAGGGGGGTATACTTTGGAAGTTACTTAATGAGAAATAATTTTATTTGAATTGTTACCCATAACTATGGTGACACTTGCTAAGGAAACCCAAAAAAACCATGATGCTCTAAAAATGTAAATGGCAAATTTTTCACTCCAAAAATAACTTATCACTGATCTTGCTTTATGTACAAAGGCAAAATGAATTCCCTTGAGAGCTTGAGAACATCATGACTTGCCTGGAGGATTTCATATTGCATTAAACCTTAGCTGCATAGCCGAGAAATTTTAAGAAGGTGCTGAAAAAGATATATTCACAGTACCCACTCATAATCACTCATAATCAACAATCACACACTTGAAGTAAAGTCACTCACCCACACAGTTTGAGCACATAAGTTTTTGATGGAAGCTCTGCTAAGGTAGCAAGTTCTGATGTAACGAACAAGAATATCCACACATACAAGGCAGCATCTACCAGTATAAAGAGGAAAGATGCATATCGCCTGCTATGCGATACTTCATCTTTTGTTCAGTAGATTTAAGAGAGAGAGTTTATCACCACAGTTCAAGTTTTGGGAACAGCTACATAAACATGGTGCTGATTCTTCCAAATTTCATCAGACCAGAGCATGAAGGAAGCTGGGAGAAACATAACAAGGCAAAAGCAGAGGTAAATCCTCGTGTATTCTATGGATATATAAATTATTTCCATCAGCTTCCAGTTTACATATAGACATTGGCAATCCCTCAGTCAACAGGTCACCATCATTATTTTGTGCGTTGATTGGGGAGTTGACTAGTATTGATAATAAGTCCCAATTACGAGAAGTTTGTCAGTTGATTAGAGAGTAAATGACCTCCAAAAAGAGCTCCAGATCACAAGTATTTTGTAAGTTGACTGTGGAGTCAATGGGCATTAATAAGAACTTCCAATACCAAGACATTTATGGGTCAATCAGAGAGTCAATGACCTCTGATAAGAGTTCCTGATTTCATGTAGTTGGTTGGTTGATCAGGGAGTAAGTGAGCTCTGATAAGAGCTCCTGACCACAGGAGGATGTTGATTAATTGAGTCAATGAGCTTTGATAAGAGCTCCCAATACCAGAGAGTTTGTTGGTTAATCAGGGAGTCAATGAGCTCTGAAAAGAGCTACTGATCACAAGAAGTTTGTTGGTCGATCATAGAGCCAAAGAGCTCTGATACAAGTTCCCCAATGCATGAAGTTTGTTGGTGGATCAGGGAGTCAATGAGCTCTGAGAAGAGCTCCTGATCACAAGAAGTTTATTGTTGATTGCTAAGTCAATGAGCTCTGATAAGAGCTCCCAATACCAGAGAGTTTGTTGGTTGATCAGGAAGTCAATGGGCTCTGACAAGAGCTCCAAACACCATGAAGTTTGATGGTAGATCAAGGAGTCATTGAGCTCTGATAAGAACTCCCGATACCAGAGACTCTGTTGGTTGATCAGGGAGTCAATGAGCTCTGAGAAGAGCTGCTGATTACAAGAAGTTTGTTAGTCGATCATAGAGTCAAAGAGCTCTCTGGTTGGTCAAGGAGTCAATGGGCTCTGATAAAAGCTCCCAACACCAAGAAGTTTGTTGGTGGATAAGGGAGTCAATGAGCTCTTAGAAGAGCTCCTGCTCACAAGAAGTTTACTGTTGATTGCTGAGTCAATGAGCTCTGGTAGGAGCTCCCAATACCAGAGAGTTTGTTGGTTGATCAGGGAGTCAATGAGCTCTGAGAAGAGCTCCTAATCACAAGAAGTTTGTTGGTTGATCGTGGAGTCAAGGAGCTCTGATACGAGCTCCCCATTGCATGAAGTTGGTTGGTTGGTTGATCAGGGAGTCAGTGGGCTCTGATAAGAGCTCCCAACACCATGAAGTTTGTTGGTTGATCAAGGAGTCAATGAGCTCTGAGAAGAGCTCCTGATCACAAGAAGTTTATTGGTTGATTGTGGAGTCAATGAGCTCTGATAAGAGCTCCCAATACTCAAAAGTTTGTTGGCCAATCAGGGATCCAATGAGCTCTGATAAGAGCTCCCAATTGCAAGAAGTTTGTTAGTTGATCAAGTAGTCAATGACCTCCAAAAAGAGCTCCAGATCACAAGTACATGAAGTTTATAAGTTGATTGCAGAGTCAATGAGCTCTAATAAGAGGTTCCAATACCAAGATGTTTGTTGGTCAATCAGGGAGTCAATGAGTTCTGATAAGAGCTCCTGATTGCAAGAAGTTGGTTGGTCAAACAGAGAGTCAATGAGCTTTGATAATAGCCCCCAATCACAATAACTTTTTCTGCCTTTCAGGAAGTCAATAAGCTCTTACAAGAGCTCTAGATTGCAAGAAGTTTGTTCATCAGCTGGGGAGTCAATGAGCTTATGTGTAATTATGTAACATTCAATTAAGTATGGACCTACAAACTTGATGATTCGGCATAAATGCTCATGTACATGGTGCTGCTAGACTATCAACTGCATTCATTTGACATGGTATGGTAATTGTGCAGATGAGGAGGAATGTGGGTTCAGCAACATTTTGGAGAGCCTGCAAATAAGTATTTCAAGGTAACAACTGTCCCATTCAGGAGGAATGGCTGCAATTGTGTGTCAGTCTTATTTAATTGCTATAGCAACAAACTCGTGTAGTTGTCTTATTTGATTGCTATAGCAAGGAGAACTCCATCAAATATGAAGAACCAGACAGATGAGGGACATCCACCAGTTATGGAGTGAGGATATCCAGTATAGTCACGCCAGTCCCCCAGAAACATTGAACAGCTTTATCTCAAATTCAGCGAACAAGACCAACCTGAAAATTTTTGTGAGCAGTACATGGTAAAAGATTGCAAAGAGGGTGCTTAACCCTGGTGAGAAGTTAGTGCTCGCAGGATTCTTCAAACTTCAAGATAGTTAGGGGAGCATGAGCTATCCACCTAATCTGCCAGCCAAGTGGCATGATGAGTTGGCAGACACAAACTTGTTTCTCCATGCTGAAGACAGCTCTCATGATCATGGCGACATTGTAGCTCAGTCACCTTTTCTTTGTATCTCTACATATCACCATTTGAGATGTGACCAGTTATCGTTCCACACTGGGCCAAGGAAATGCTCTGCTATCTTCCAATACATTGTTTCATAGAAAAGCTTGGACAAGAGCTTTGTCAGCTTCTACCAGCATACCATGCTCTTACAGGGTTTGACATCACAAATGCCTTTTGCCAAAGTGGCAACAGAAAGTTTGGGAAGGTTCTTGTGAATAACAAACAAGCATGTTTGCATTAACAGGACTTAAGAGAACAAGTACCAACAAGTTATTTGATCTACTGAAGTTTTCATAAGCTTACTTCACTTGTCTACCAACCAACCTCAACTCAGATAATAAGTGGTGGTATTTCACTATTGCCTTTTTTGAAACAGACTTGTCACATGGGCTTTGTATTTTTCAAGCTGAAAACATCTGCCTGTTATTCATTTCAGTATAAATTAAGAAAACTAACGGCAAAACATCTCAATATTTCACCCAAAATGATCATGACCATTCACTTCTAACACAAATCGATGAGAAATAATAATTTAAATGGCACTCTATATCTATATTTCACAAAAACCAAGTGAATCTTTGTTTCGTTTACAACCATCACCATGGTAACAGCTAAACCAACCACAATTATGCCACATTAAGTAACCACAAAAGTTACTCCCCTCCTCTCTCTCCCCCCCTCCACCAAAAAAAAAAGATATTTGGTAAAACAGTTCTGGAGATATTGCTAAAAACGTTCCTAAACCCTTACAAATTGCTACCTTTAAAACCACCCTCACACCCTTAAAAACCATTGTGTAGCACATTACTGACCCTTCATTTGTGACTGTGGCTGACATAGCAATGATATCTTGGTATTAGCCCATGATAATCAAATGTCAAACCTTTTGTGTAGTGGGGGTGCTTCTAAAAAGAAGTTTTAAGATAAATGTTTGTATTTTATAGGTCAAGATAAATTACAATGGTGTTATAAAAATACATGGAACTAATCACTAATGATTGTCTACTTTTTGTTGCTCATTTCAAGTTAATAACTTACCAAAACTTAACCTGCATGACGACAATATGGAATTCAGTTGTTGACCAACTGAAACCACAAAAAGTATTGATTTCTAGAATGTGACTTTCACATTGGTTGCAAATTCTGATTTCAGTTAAAAATATAGAGGGCGTATGGCACACAAAACAAAAAAATAGGGATTTTGCTCAGACAGAACAAGCATGTAGAATTTGAGGTTAATGCCCTGTGGAATAGTTCATGTACATGATGCTCATCACAAGTTTACCTTCCCGCAACTGTTTCAATTTTCTGACAGCTCTGTAGTTTTTCATTCCTCTCCATACTTTAAGTAGTAATATTCTGTCAGAGTATTGTGAAGCCATTCTCATCCTGTTCCTCTCTTCAATTCTTGTAAAATGCAAAGTGGTCCATATCCTCCAGGCCTAAGTAAAACAAAAAGGGAATAAAATACAACTGCATTATCATCAAGATTGTAATATTTATTAGAGAGAGCTCATGGACTTCCTATCACCTTTAGTCTATGATTTCATAGCTTTTTTCTATATTACTAGATATTTAAATTCCTGGTAAAAAGATAAATAAATAGAGATATAATAAATTTGCTGAGTTGCTCGAAACTTTGTACTCAAAGCTCATAATGAAGTCAATTATTTCCCAATTAAGTTCCAAAATGAAAAACTATTATCATCATATAAGAAATATCATGTTAAAAAACAAGATCATTTTGGTTTGTGGTGAGGCATAGGACACATGTAGGTAGTGGTACAATGAGAGTCAAATCATCAATTTTAAAAATACTTGGTTTTTTTTGACATAGAGAACATTGTCTAGTTGAAAAAAAACAAATTGCTTAGAGAAAAACCCTTGATAGAAGGACAAGGGAAGACAGTCAACCAAATGTACCATTACATATAAATTTCATGAAACCAAAAGTGTATAACAGTGAAAACTCATCTAATGGATGTCGAAAACAGAGAAGCTCATGAAAAAGCAGCATTTGAAATAGGAGTCTAACTGGAGATACAGTTACATTACTGTCATGACCTGATTATTGTTGCTTAATATATTTGTGAGTAAAGATAGTTTCTAAAAGTGCACCTTAGACATAAGACAAGCTGCCCAGAACTGAAGGGCCTCATTGTTCATGTGCTGTAACTTTTCCCTGAAAGCTAACTGTGACAGCCAATGTTCCCATACGTGCCTATGAAATCAAATGTGAAGTGATATCCTAATAAGATAAAATTCATCAAACATTTAACATTTTCATGCAGGCAAAATCACCTCATAAAACTGTCTCTTTCAACCAAACTAATACAAGAATGATATACAAATTTACTTTTTAAGGTGCTTATCAGCCAGATCCATTGCTCTGTTATTCTGTTGTCTTTTCCCTCTTCTGATTTTAATGTATCCCTTCCAGCCAGACCAACATTTTACAAGTAACAAATGATGTGCTGCATAATATAATTACAGAACAAAATAGTAAAAATTCCCAATTACTGTGTACGCTCACACATTATAAGCATTAGTATCAAGATATAGGGAATTTCAATGAGGACTTTTAAATCAATTGTAATAATTGTACATCACCAGATGAAAGTTATAAAACACTATCACTAAAATCACAAATAGTTCAAAGATTCCTTCAATTTGGATGAATAATGAAATTACAGACAAGCTGCAAACGAAAATTACATTTCTACATTTTATGCAAATAATTTTCTGTATAATTTCAACAGGTACACATCAGAAAGAAAATCTGGATTTTAATTTTTTTAAATAATCAGAAAAAATAGACTATCTTCCTTCTAATAACAACATTGCTGCACTGTAACTGGTTTGAAACCCAGAAGTAATAGTAAAGTGTGTTTTTTGATCATCTGGATGAAAGTAGTCTTGCAAAGGGCTGTTACAAGTGACAGTGACTCATTAAGCTTCACCAACTTAAGCAGAGGTCATCTCAAGATTCAGAGAATGACTTTATTCAGGTTTTTGAACCATCACCAGATTCATTCTCACTGGCACAATCAGACCAAAGACAATTAAAATCTTGCCATAATCAGTGTTCATTATCATTTGCATCTCAATGAAAACAAAATATGCCAACATTGTGCTACAGTTAAGTCCAACTTCAACCTGGACACAAAATATTTTCCTCACCCCTGTGATGAGCCAACTTATCCTTTGCTGCTTTTGTTTTGCAATAAATAATGTACTGTCTCCATGCTTTCCAAGACTTTTGCCAAAGTCTATATCTGAAGATAAATAAAAGATATATGTTCATGAACATTTACCAAATAGATATTGGACACAACAGAAAGGAATTAAAAAAGGGAAATAGAGGAGTAGGTCCCTTCTGTAGCCTCTTTGTAACATAATAAGGATAACTCAGTGTACTAAGTGCCTTTTTGACAAGTTTGAACTGCAGGGTTAGACCTTGTACATCTACATAAGACGCACCAATGGCAAATTGACCATAGCATTAATGACAATAGCCAAGGTACTCTGTAAAGGATCTGCTAGATATTCTACAATTTAATTTTAGCATGTTACATGTATGTGCGTACTTCCTTAATAAGTGACAGAGTACCAAGATGTGTGTATCTCTGCTATCGAAGTACTGTATTACAATTCAAGCAAAAAATATTTATTAGATATTTCCTCTCACATGGCTGGTTGAAAGGGAGTCTATGCCTTTATGGGTGGTTATCATTATAGGAGTTTCACTAATGTATCATAATCAAACTTTTACTGTACAATTCATATCATTACATTTCCACATACAGTACATGTATGCCTTAGTAAGGGTTGGGGTATGATGAGTTTTACAATGTTAAATACATTGTTAAATTGTGATTTATCTCTCATAAAAATGCAACAGTGTACAAATATAGATCTTTACCTATTGTGATAATCAGCTCTGACATTAAGCTTCCACCCTTTTCTCCCTGTCCACCAAATATCCTGCCATACCTGCAGTGTATGTTGCTTAAGCTTTCTTTCATAATGGGCTCTGTAAGTCAATAATGATGGTAATATGCAAATCATTACTCAACAAAAATTCCTCAACAGAACCCCTTTCAAAAGTTTTCACCCTAATAATTAATGAAAACCTAATGTTCTCCTCAAGTTGTTTCAAAAGCATTATTTGATAATTCATATTCAATATATCCATTTTGATATAATTACTGATCCTCGCAATACGATTGGTTTACAGATCCAATTTTATAAATAAATGCACATATTTTTTCTTAAAATTGCATTTTTTTCCAACTAATAAGAAATAGAACATTAATGCTAGAAATCAGTCCTATTTCAGATTTCAGGAGTACAAATAGATCAAAAATTTCATTCCAAATCCAATAATGGCAATGAAACTAAGTTTTAACCACATAGTGCATGTATACAGTAAATAAATACGATCCAGTAAGTTATAAAAAATCAAAGTAACATTCAATCATCGGTTTACCAAGTGCTGTAGGAAGTTACTGCAAATAAACTAGCTCCCTGTTACCTTGCTGTAGCTGGAGTTAATCTTCCATATGTCTTCTTTTCCCAGATCAATAGATACTTCTTAGCTAAAAACCTTTATAGATACAAAAATATCTTGATGATGATTCAAAGTGCAAAAAAAATTGATGATTAGTTCAGCAGCACAAAGATCAATTAATAGTGAAGAATCAATAATTATATTGTATACCTATTCCTTCTTTCTTCATGTTGGTTGTCTCTTTTATCAACAAAACCTGCTTCTTTTTTAGGAATCTTCCTTTTAGGTTGTGTGACAGATTTTGCCTGTCTTTTGTTTCGTATACTGGTATAAGTTTCATCCACTCTTCTGTTGACAGTTAAACAAGAAGTTTAAGAATAAAACAAATAGAGAACCCATGACTTTACATTATAAAGTACCTTCACAGCAGTGGTAACTCAAAAGAAATGCAGTTGTAAATTAAACCATGCATTTCTCCCCATTTATTGAGTGTCTCTGCCACTTCTCATACTTTGTAGTAACTGCTTGACAACAAAAAATATCACAGTTGAGTATCTTTGTTGGTGATAAATCATTACCTTGGAATCTTGGACGTTGATTTAACTGGTTTCAGTTCCTCTTTCTTTGTATCGCTTAATGTCAAATGCACTGGAAAAAAGTGCAAAGAAATAATCTGGGTGAAATTTCCACACAGCCCCATACTACATTATGCATTCAGTTCTTGGATAGAGAAAACAATAACAAAAACAATAGATTGCCATTGGGAAAACAGATTTGTTTTACAATAGTATGGGGCTTGCGGAAATCTTACCATGGTCTGTTATGTCTGCTTTGAAAAAAAAAAAAAAAAAGAAAGAAAGAAAAAAGGGAAAGAAGCCATCAAGCACAAGGCTGAAAATACCCTCACACACATTATCTCATGTGTTTCAGACTGGTCTGGCTATCGAGGACTTACTATAGATATCACATGTGTACTGTATGTACCCGATTTACAGTAGTGGTTCAGTTTCATCATAGGTTCAAATTATGTTTTTCTTTCTATGAAACTCGTTGTCGCACGTTACCATAGCCCGTGACAAAGGCAAATGAAATTTGAGTAAAGAACAATATGGAAGCATGACATTGGCTCATACAATATTCAAATTTCCCGCCAAACATTTGTCAGCCAAAACACTTTGGTTCAAATGAAACATGTTTTCTGCCATTGTACCTGGATGATCCTTAGTGTGTTCTTCCTCACTTCGATTTTTTGGAACAACACCGTGAGCTCTGACAACAAGTTGAGTACTGAGTTCTTTCAATATGGCTTGCTTTGCCAACACACGAGTAGACTTGTCATCTTTTGTGGCAAATTCCTTTGCCTTTTGCCGAGCAGCTTTCACAGACAACTGCTTTGGCTTTGTCGGTGTACTGTAACGTTCATTTCTTGTGCGTTTTCCCCTGCTACCTGGGCTGTCTTCTTGCATTTTGCTCCGTAGTAGTTCAATTCGATCTGCCCGCCACGTTTACTCCGAAATGCTCTCGGTTACAAACCGAAGACCTCCGACATTTCCGGAGCCTACCGAGACTTTGCATTCTGGGAGTTATAATCAGCGAAATTGTAAACTCAACATGGCGGGTGACTCTTGATACGATGTCACACTGCAGTACCGCTTATATAATCCCGGCTAAAAGTTGTCACCCAGCGTCCGGAGGAAAAAGAGAGAACAATTGCCGCTTAATCAGAGATGTAAGTCTTTTCGGAAAAGCAGAGGAGAACGAGAGTTGAAAGATAATGGATATTCGTCGGAATTGAATTTGACTCTAACGTAAGGCGTTTGGTGCCTGAAAAACTCATAATAGGAATATTTGCTTTGCGAAAATGTTGAGTTCAATGAAGAACTATGCTGTTATCTCTAAACACGTAACGGAGGGTTCGAATGGATTAGAGGAAGATCAAGATGAATCTGGTGAGACGAATTGCAGTGAATCTTTATTGACAAACCAGCCATTTACAGATGATGAACAATCTCAAAACGCCCGAATGCCAAAATTGTCTCCTGAAACTGAGGGAATAATACAAAAAGACTGCCACGAAACAAATCGTGACGCTATTATTAAAGAAGAGTCAGAACGCAGCAAGGTGACAAAAGCGAAAGAGAGTGTACAATCTTCGGAAGATGTGCACGAAGCGTCAACCAATCCTGATATATGTACATTTCCTCATGGTGAAGAAGCGAGTCAAGATTGTTCTGTAGTAAACAATTCTTCAGAAAATCTCCTTGGCTCCAATCACCGCAGGGAACCTTCAGTTGAGGACAGTGATGAAGTTTTCCCCCTTGTTAGACAAAACGCTAATTCTTCCGATGATCTGCTCGATAAGAATTTTGTAAAATGGACAAATGAGAAGAACTCCCACGGTAGTACAAACTTAGAAAAAGGTAGTGCCTTATCGTCAGATTCACCAAGTAGTGATGTGGAATTCAGTGCGTGTTCATCAGTTACTAGTTGTACTGAGGATAGTGGAATTAGTTCTACTGTTAGAGATGAAGAACTAGAAGAGATCCCACTTAACAACTCTCAATTTAGCCCCGACCTGTACCAACAGATATCTAGATTTGCTATAGATGAAACAGTAGCGGCCTGGATTCCGAAATCCTCTAATACTTACGCACCGAGTCCAAGTTCGAGTATGAAGACAGTTCCTGTTACAGATCAAGAAAAGTCACAAAAGCAGGGCAAACTAAAGTAAGTTGTTTATGAGGTTATTTTTATTGCACAGCATGTGTTACAATGTTGTACACTGTCACACATACATTTCAGGGTTCGCTTTGTGGTGTGTGGGTGAGCGGTGATATTAAGATAAGCCTTTACGAAATTGAAACTAGAAGCAGTGCTGCTTTTAGAAGTGAGCTTGTTTCCAAAATTAAGCATCCTTGGTCCAAAAAAAAAAAAAAAAAAAAACAAGGAAGATAAATATTGCAGTTTTGAAACTTAAATAACCTGTTTTAGTTACTTGCTTCATTTACAATTGTGGGAAACCTTCCAAAGTAAACCATAATATATGTATTACAGACAGAAAAGGTGAGATCAAATGCTTTTTTTAAATTATGCATGTACAAGATGGTCATCCTGCAGTGTTGCTTTGAGATAAAAATGTGAATAAAATATTTCAATTATCATATTGTTCATTTAATCAAACTAGTAGTATATTGTATTGCACATGCATCATTTCTGGTATATTGCACCTCTGATCTATTCACACGTACACCATTAATTTGTATAATTTGTTGAAATTACATTGCAGAAGATTTGTTTTATTAACTGTAGCCTGTCGTTATTGATTGTTATTCTCCACTTTTCTTTAATTTGGCATTCATTATTCACATGACTGCGTGGTTATTCAGAGTTTTATTTTCCTTTTAATAATGTTAAGTATGCATTTATTATGATGTACAGGAAATTGCTCTTGACTTGTTATGAATCTTGCCAAGTTCTTTTTACATAACAATTAGTTTCAGAGTCTTTTTGGTCCACATGATATTATAAAGCATGCAGGAATTTTGCTGTACCACAAGTAGTCTTTATGAGGCGTGAAAAGGATTATCAGATCCTTAATTATATTATTTGCTTGTTTATTAAAGAAATTAGTTTGTAGTTTCCATGATGGAATCAGGTTAACATGCTCTACAAGCAATTTGATGATCAAAATAGAATTATCATTTATTAAGTACATGTTTTCAAAGACTTTTCATCCTTCATTATAGATTATTTTTGTCACTGTTTATATGTCTTGACCAAGGTTTTAATAAATTTGTGAAAACAGAGATTGATTCACAAATACATGCCCTGTTCAATGGGGCTTAATTTTATTGGTTATACATGCCAAGGAAATAACATTCAGAGCTTGACTTTTAGGCTTTGCTAAATTTACATGTGTGTACTGATGTAGGTTGTACATATATTCTCATTCCTCTGGGTGCCTGTAAATTGTCTATCAATGTTCTGTGCTTGTTCTACCTAGAGAGTCTACTATTTTAATGATGAATTATAAGACAAGTTTGAATCAGTACACTGTATATTCTTTTAGAGGACTGTTTTCAAAGTCAACTCAAAAGGAACCTGTTCCTGGTTGGAAGTTATTTGGCAAGGTTCCCGCTAAAGATGCAAGGGATAACAATAAAGATTCTCATATCCAGTCATCATCATTTGATAGAGGTTAGAGATTAATCGTCAATTAGCAGGATAGTTATAGTTAAGTAAGGGCAGGAATATACAGATGATTACCTAAAAAAAAACCTAAATTCAAAAGGCAAATTGTTGGTCTTCATAGGGGAGCCACCCTGAAATAGCATGTTGTCCCAGAAAGATTTGTTCTTTAGGTACATGTATACTGCTTAGAATGGTAACCATTTCTTTTTTTTTTTTTTCTTTCAATCTACAGGAGATTTGAAGCGTAGTTCTTTTGGTGATAAGCCTTCATCAACTGCTCCAACCTCCAAACCCAAATTTCTTTCGATTAGGAGGAAGGTGACAACAGGCAGCTCAACTACAGCTCTTATTTTTGAAAACAGACCCAGGTATAAATAAGTCACATCTTATCTTAGAAGAGGCAGGGTTAGTTGTGTTTATAAATCATAACTTACACATTCTCATAAAGTACATACAGTTGCATCAGTAATTTTATTTTGTTAATCCTACATTGTATGCATGCAATATCCATTTTATCATTTAAAGATAACTTCTGGTTTTCTTTTCATGATTCAGTTGCATCTTGAATAAATAGCATGTTATGTAAAGTGTAATGTTAAATTTCATTCAACAGCTTTGAAAAATTAATTTTACTGGTTCTACAAAGATTAACTGAAACAAGGCTGTCTTGCACTTCAGGCTTGGTAAAATTAAAATTTAGCTTGCCATGGGCTGTGGGATTGGACCAAACTGTGTTTTTACTTGATCTTCACAGAGTAGGCAAGCTACAATGAACAGCTGCTCACCCTACAGGGATATCTATTTATGCAGAATGAATTTTTTTCTCTTTTTTTTTTTTTTTTTTATTTGAGGCCGTGCCTTTAACATATGTTAAACCTTTAATGTATGATGGTTCATTCAGTCATCAAATTTTAGATAAATGTATCCCTAGTGATTAATAAGTTCATTTTCTTGGGTGTTATCTTGTGGATGTTTTGTAATTGCTCAATAAATCACTCTCAGCTTTGAATCAATGATAGGACCATATTTAATTTTAAAAATGTTTTTGTTGTTTTGACAACTTCCATTATATGTTTTAGCAAGTTTTATCTTTTCAAATTTCAGCAACCTTCCAGCTAAGTCACCTACAGAAGAGAAAAAGCACAGAAAGCAATATGAAGCCATGGTGGCTGAAGCAAAGAAAAAAGGTGAAAGAAGTACTAATTGGCATTGTTCTCTCTCAATTTTTTTTTTTGAGACTTCTCTATGTTGAGTTTATTAGATCATGAGGTATTCTTTTAAGCATGGATGACGTCCTTTTACCATATGAGTAAGATTCTATATTAATTTTAAGAAAAGAAGATATGTGTATTTACAGATAATCCCTGATATTTTGGTAGGTTTCCTCAACACTTTCACTTCAAAATCTCACAACTCTTTTTACTGTCTGAAATACAATTCCTATGATGTTAGTTAGGAGAATTTGGTATTGGATGAACTAATAATCCCCTAATTGATACTTTTATTTATTCTCAAGACTTGCTGCTTCATATTGTCTTGATATTGCAAGGAGCAATTTTGTCCTGGTCACTTATGGGAGTCAAAGGCCAGGTTAAAATTTGTTTGCTACGTGGGGCTGAGACTTGAACTTCTTAATATAGATTCTAATTTGCTAACCACAAGGCCTTTGTTTCTCCATAAGGTGACATTATTTTGATTCAAATACTTCATGACACCACTGATTTTACTTTGCAACTGTAGAACTGAAAGACTTAAAGCTGCAAGAGAAAAAACTTAAAGAAAAATGTAAACAGGAAGATGGGATTGTCTCTGCTGCTTCTGTGTGGACAAATGAAATATTGCCCAACTGGGAAACAATGTAAGATCATTATTCTTAATTTTTTTATGAACTGCTAGTTAAGTTTGTTACTTTTCTTTGATTTTAGCACTTATTGGACATAGAATAAATTCATTTATAAGTGAGAATATAATCTCCATGTCCCCATTCAGGCAACATGCAAAGAAAACAAGAGAACTTTGGTGGCAGGGCCTTCCACCAAGTGTGCGTGGAAAAGTGTGGAAGCTTGCTATTGGAAATGATTTACACATTACTCAAGGTTGGTTTTCCTTGTTAGCAATAGTGAACAGTTGAATTGCTTACAACTGCACCTATTGATTAAGTGTTGTGACTTTTTTTCAGAATTATTTGACATATTCCAGTCCCATGCATATGAAAAACTCTTCACAACACGCCTCAACAAGCAGAAAAATGTAACACAGACAGTTGCAGAGCTACCAGCCAGTGACCATCCAGTTGTCAGTAAGGCTCACACA